CTAAACCCTATTCTTGAGTGTTTGAGAGGCTAAAGTGTGTTTTTGGTGCATTTGTTAAAGAAGCTTGGAGGTTTAGAAGCTTGGATTGAGAAGAAGCAGGTAGATCCGGTATCTACATTGTCTTGGCTTGCATTTGAAGGTAAAAAGCCTTTACCTTGGTCTTCCGTTTGTTATATCTCTTCTTATGTGAGAAAATGGGCATTTTGGTGCAAAAATGGAGTCACTTTCGGATTTGAGCTTGTCACAAGGGCATAGTTCAGATCTGGACTCCTCTAGGCCCTTATGGACATAAAGCCTCAAGCTTTATGAAGCTTTGACCCTCCTTCGTGCCCAAAACCTTCTTCTAATGCTAGATATGAGTGTTTTAGCTTCATGGAGCCTTGCATGCACGTAAAGTTAGCAACTTTACGTGATAACAACACCCTAGGAGCCTAGATCTACAGTTTGGAGCTTTGGTTTCACGTAAAAGCATCTGAATGAGAAAGGGACTGAAGGAACTCGACGAGTTGCATGGCCAACTCGACGAGTCGGATGAATATTGGCTGTTTTTGGTTTCTACATGGACTCGGCGAGTCAGTGAGATGACTCGACGAGTTAGTTAGGGTTTTCCCGACATTTGGACTCGGCGAGTCAGTGAGATGACTCGACGAGTTGTCTGGAAACTCGGCGAGTCAACTAGGGTTTTCATGATTTCTCGAGTTCTGAAGGAACTCGACGAGTTGGGTCAACATGGACTATTGACCTTGACCGTTGACTTAGACTTTGACCAAGGGTTGACCAGTTTGACTTCTGGGGGTATTTTAGTAATTTGTAATTCATGGAAGTGGATCATTGGTGGATGTAGGTGATTGAGTTTGGAGCTATATTTGGGAAGTTTGACATTATCATCCCGAGCTACTTGTGAGGTGAGTTGTCCTTACCATACTAACAGGGCTGAAGGCACCAATGTCGACCCTTTTCGAATTTGTATCCAGGTTTATTGCATGATGATATGCTTAGTGACATGTTAGGTCGGTATCTTGGTATATAGGATAATGGTATGTTAGTGACCAGTTAGATCGGTATCCTGGTATATAGGATAATTCTATGTTAGTGATCGGTTAGATCGGTATCCCGGTTATAGGATGATGCTATGTTAGTGATATGTTAGATATGTATGACTATCTGTACATGCTAGCTAGCGTATGATATTTATGTGCACATGATTGTTTGTTTGGGGGTGGGTTGAGGTGGACCTGCTTTGTGATGTAGGCCAACATACCTAGGGTGGTCCGGATAGACTGCATGCCGGTAGGGCACATCAGTCAGGCCGAAGGCCCGGAGAACGGTCCAGACAGGCTGAAGGCCCGGGTGGGTGGACCAGACACGCTGAAGGTTCTGAGAGTGGGCCAGATAGACTGCAGGCCCGGTGAGGGCAATCAAGTCGTTCTGTAGACTCTATATGCATGTTGTCTGTTTGCTATGATATGGTTATATTTGTATGGCATTGGTATTTTAGGGGAACTCACTAAGCTTCAGACTTATAGTTGTTGATTATGTTTCAGGTACTTCTGATGATCGCGGGAAGGCGAATGCGTGATCGTGCACCTCCTTATGTTTTTATGATTTGATTATGGGATACTCTAACATGAAACCATTTTGAAAACAAATTTGTAATAATTATCGGTTTTTGAATGATTTCAAAAGTTTTAAATTGACTTGAATTTTATGGGTGTTACACTTTATTATAGCTTATAGATTATTAAGACACTCTAGTGCTTAAAGAGAGTTGAATCACAAAGCTATCAAGGTGACTGCATAGTATTTGAAGCACATGCGTTGTTTTAACGCCCATATTTTCACTTAATTGATTGTACTTTAAATATTATGTAATACATGTTATTATATATACCCTTCTTTGCATTTTACACAAAGTTTTGAAAAAGGGATGCATATTAAATGTTTTACTGTTTTCAAAAGATAGTTTATGTTGTATAATTAATGATCATGTTATATCCAATTGCATGGTTCATAGTTGGTTCACTAGTATAACTAAACCTAAATTAATTGGTCATAATGATGTTTTTTTTAATATAGTGAAAAAAATATAATGGTGATACATGTTAAAATAACATAAATAACTATATATATATATATATATATATATATATATATATATATATATATATATATATATATATATATATATAAATAAAGGAGGACATTCAAATGAATGTGATTCAAGATAGGCCATTTATCTTGAACCATATTCATGTGAAACTCCTAAACTCTTCATATTATGATACATAAATGATTATTTAATTGAAATATTTTGTCTCTATAAGAAACACTTTCTTCTTTCCTTTCTTTTCATTTTGCTTCTCTTTTCTTTTAATTTTCATTATCTTAAATGCATGAGAATTGAGAAGTTTCAAATAGGTATGCTTTGTTCCATCCACATCTTTTTTCCTTCTATTTTCTTAAAATACCATAAGAAGTTTGTTATGTACAAGATCTAATCCAAAAGATTATGATATTTAGAGATGATGAAGAATTGTCTAAAGATTGTACGGTTAGAGCCAAAAGAAAAATGTTGTCAACTTTGTTGTGTTATGTGTTCAATGTGTGTTTGTGAAAGAAAAAAAATAAGATAGAAAAACGATAAATTTTTATGTGAAGGTTGTACATTTAGAGCTAAAAGAAAAGTGATAGTGCCATTTTGATGTTTTTAAATTGTGTTTAAACAATAATCATGTGTTTGATGAGTTCTCTTCGCATGTGAATTTTATTTTAATGACGTAATTCTACTTATTCTTATCTTTTCAAGAATTTTACTTTGAAAATTTCCATATCGTAACGTTTAACTTTCAAATTTTTTATTACAAAATGTTTGTTCAAAAAATATATATTTCGATGATTATGCTATTGTAATTTAATATATATAAATATGATTAATTTTAGTGATTGTATATTGGGGTTGAAATTTATCGACTACTAATTCTAAACGTATGACAATTATTATTTCTAAAATTATAGGGCCTTAAGTTTGTATATATGACATCTTCCAAATATCTTTTGTAATTTAATACATATAAATGTGAATAATTTTATTAGGTAGTTATGAAAATCTTATCTCAAATATATAACTTTGTATTACATATATAACTTTTGTAATTAAAATATTTGTAGAACAAAAATAAATTACACTATCAGATAAATAAATACACAAAAAATAATAGATGCACATACTTTGATATAATTGTTTTGAAGGCTTTTGATATAATATTTGGTCTGGACATTAGATGATTATATTATTCATTTAATTTACTAAACACACTTTAAATATTTTAATTTTATTTGATTAAGTGTTATAAGTATCAATTAAATACCATGAATGAAAAAACATTTTTATTTGTAGTGATTTAATTCTAAATAATCTTTAATTAGAATTGGAAAAGTTGAAATATTAAAATAGAACTTCAATTCAATTAATAATTTTTCATTATATCAATGTGGTTAACGATATATATATATATATATATATATATAATATATATATATTATATATATATATATATATATATATATATATATATATATTTTGCTCTTACCAATATATAGTGAAATAATCCTATTTATATAATAACTTAGACTCTTGTACAAATAGTTTTATACAAATAATTCACATAAAATAATTAGACGCACATAATTATTTTTTGATCGGAAGGTTTGAATTTTTTTTGTATAATATTTAGTATACATATTAGATGATCATATCACTATTTTAATTGACTAAACGACAAGTTCAATCTTATTTAACTAATTTTCATAGGTATCAATATAAATAAAAAAAAAACTTGTATTTAGTTGTAGTCTTTTAACTTTAAATAACATGTCTTGGTACTTTAATAGTTTTAGTATTAGTCCAAAAACTATTTTATAAATAGTTAAAAGTTATATGTTGTGTTATATATAAAACCTAAATTGTAATCCTAAATTAACTAAAAAAATTCCTAAAACTATTTACATAATCAACTGTATAATTTCATTATACACAACGTACAAACAATCGCCTAGTATCTAATAGTATTTTCAAGCACCAAATTTGTTTTAAAATTCCATTACAACTGTCGAGTTTTCTAATTTATATATAATTAGTACTTGCAACTCATTTTTAACTTATGATTGTTAATTAGTAATAACTGATGACTTTTTATTAAAAGTTAAAAAAGTTAGTTTTGTTGATTTTTGGATATTAGTATTTCTATATATCAAATGTATGTTGATTGTTGTATATTCTTTTTGTACATAAGTGTTAAATAATTTTTTTTTAAATTCAAATGTTATAATATATGTTTTAATGTTCTTATGCTATTAAAATTTATAGTATTTGTTTTTTCATACTTATTGTTATTAGTTATGTATAGATCAATCATAATTAATGGTATACATCACTAACTAATGATATACATCACCAATGATTTAAAACTATGATGTTTAATAAAAATAATATGCTAACTATAAGTTTATTTTATTACCGATATTGATTTTTTCCCCTAAATCTATGGATGTAGTATTTAAAAGAATTAGCTTTACCATACAAAAAGGCTTAACGGCGCAAGTTGTTGCTCGTTTACCATCTTACTCGTTGTACGATGATAATTAATTTGTTATTTTTCAAATCAAAATATTAAATAATAATTTGTTAAAAGTTATTATTTTAATTATATAATTAGTCTCTCGTAATCTTAAGGATTTTTATATATGTTGAAACAGTTATTTTATCACTTGAATTGGTTTGATGATGGAACTAGGTTTTCTTTTTATCTGTTCCATTGAATCCAATTTTTTTGTATCGACATATTGAATATAGGATAGAAAAACATGATACTCGTTATTCATGATCCCTACTCTACTATAAAGAATGTTAATAACAATTACCTTTATAAGAATATACTAAAAAATTAGACGATCGGATCCCTCACGACTCTATAAATAAGGAAACAAAAATTGATCCATCGAAAGCTGAAAACAGGCGGCCACACGTGGTAGTTTGAGTGCGTGTCGCCAAGTCAATACGATCATTCTTGACTCTTCTACTTACAATTTTACAACTCCCGAAGCATTTCGTACAACTGTCTCTCCATGTCGACGACGGAGCAAACGAATGGACTCGGGCCATCGCCGCCGTCTCAACCAACAGCGGAGGAGTTCACCGGAAAAAGACAGTCACTCATTCATACCGTATTGGCAATGATAATCTGGCTTGGTTCTGTACATCTCAACGTTTTCATCATTCTCGCTTCTTTCTTCCTCCTCCCTCTTCACAAATTCTTTCTGTAAGTGATCATGCTGTGATTCTTCTCCAATTTTATGTTAACATATTAAACACGATTTATTCATCTAATTTTTGTGTTTGTGCTGTAAATTCTTCGTTTTCAGGGTTTTGGGAATTCTTGCGATCTTAATTGCGATACCGATTAACGAGAAGAGCAGATCTGGTAGAGCTCTTGGCAGGTTAATATTATAATTTTGTATATTGCAGTATCCATGAATGACCTAACTGATCAAATGTGTATTTTGAAAGTGATTATTGGATTTTTGGAATCAGAATGAGATAATTTGATAGTTAGTTGGTAAGGTGTGTTTGGATGTGTGATTTGAAGGTGATATTTTTGTGTAGTATAAAGAAATGGAAGTGGAATGAAAGTACATTGCGAATTCTTGTATATAATCACTAAAATAACTTTATGTGTCTGAATTTCAGGTATATATGCAAACATGTAATTGGCTTTTTCCCTGTAACACTACATGTAGAGGATTATACAGCCTTCAAACCTGATCAGGCTTATGGTAATTGAGTCCATTATGTTCTTGATTTTCGTGTAAACCCCCAAACTTCTTAGAATCATTTGATTCCTTGTATAATTTAGTAAAGATGTTTGACTATTGATCAAATGTCGAAAATGCCCCTTATCAATGAAAAAAATTAGATCACTTTCAAGCAATAATTACTTGGGGGGTATACAAGTAAAGTAAGTTTTCAAACTTACCAAAAAAGGAAAATTTGTTTTTTGTTTGAGATAAACCAAAACGGGTGTGTTGCATTTTTTGGGGAGAAATTAAATATCCTCCTACCTTTTGTTCCTACCAACTCTCCTACCCATTTAAATGATGACATGTGTCATATTAGTATCCTAAAATGTCATTAAATTTCATTAAATGAGCATTAAATGTTACACATGTCACCATTTAATTAGGTAGGAGGATATGTGGGAACAAAAGGTAGGAGGATATTTAATTTCTCTTTTTTGGGACATATGGCGGATGATTTTAAGATTCACAGTTATTAGTTATATTTTTATTGTATTAGTTTTTGAATGAAAATTCTCCTTGTTAGTAATTATATAAGTTATATTCAATGGTGCATGCAGTTTTTGGATATGAGCCCCATTCTGTTTGGCCAATTGGAGTTGTTGCACTCGCAGATCTTACAGGTTTTATGCCTCTTCCCAAAATAAAAGTCCTTGCAAGTACAGCTGTAAGATTTGCTACTTTTGATGCTTTTTAGGTCCATTTGTTATGCAGTACATGACAGCTGTACTGTGTTTGATATGCATCAGACTGAGAAGACTGAGACTGATGTTAATGGGACAAAAATTGCATTTTTTTGTCCCACCCAAAAAGGTGAAGCAAGGTGGGATGGGAATCGCTCTCGATCTTTGTTTGTCCAAAAGACGTAAATGCCCTTCTCATCCTCGGCTTATAAAATAGCCCTAAAAAGCTTGTCCAGTTTAGTCCAGTCCGGTCCTATCCCGTGTGACAACACGGGATAGGACTGGACTGGAGGCCATGAAACAGGACCGGAAAAGCTTTCTTGGGCTATTTTTAATGTTGAGAATAAGAAGGGCATTTACGTCTTTGCACAAACATGAGATCGAGAGTGAGTCTCTGTCTCACCTTGTTTCACCTTTTTGGACGGGACAAAAAGTTGCAAATTTTTGTCTCATTCACATCAGTGTCGTGTCAGTCCAATGCATAACAAACGCAGTACAAGGCCGTCCTTGTTCTGTACAAATATTATGATGTTCCGTAGTTGTCAAATCTTATATATATTGGAATTGATATTTAAACAGGTGTTCTATACACCATTCTTGAGGCATATATGGACATGGCTTGGATTGACAGCAGCAACAAGAAAAAATTTCTCATCTCTTTTAAAAGCTGGTTATAGCTGCATAATTGTGCCAGGTGGCGTGCAAGAGACTTTTTACATGGAGCATGATTCCGAGGTCTAAAATATATATTTTTTCTTTTCTTTTGAAAAATATTATCAAAATTTGCAATTGTCAAACATATCTAATCTTTTTTTTCCCCTACTTTTCACCTATTAATATCAGTATATCTACTTTTTATATTTTTCTTATAGGGCTAAATGCAAGAAATACCAATGTACTTCCATTCATTTGTTTATTACAGCTTCCTACTTTCATTTTTTCTTTTACAACGTTTTATTTTCTACTTTTTCTTATTAAAGCATTGTAATTTCAATTTTTTCTTACTACTATATTTCCAAAGTACAATGTTATAATATGAAAAAATAAAAGAAAGATGTGGTAATAAAGATATATATATATATAATAAAAGTATAAAAGTACGTTGCTATTTCTTGCATTTAACTTTTTCCTATATGATTGTTGATTAAACTTCAAGACAATCTTAACATAATAATTTACTATATAGATCGCCTTTTTAAAAACAAGGAAAGGATTCGTACGAATTGCAATGGAGAATAATTCCCCCTTGGTTCCAGTTTTTGCTTTCGGTCAGGTATAATCCTTCTCGGTTTTGATGCTACTTTTTTTCCTTAGTACAATATTATAATATGGTCACAGTGTAGTATTTTCGATTCCAATGTGGGCCACTGTGTACCTGATTTACATGTGACAAAGAAGTGTCAACCAGGTGTAGGGGTTGCTGGAAGAATAACCATTTTGTAGAAACATGATTGGATATTAGACTTTTGATTGACATAAATTTCTTGAATGTTGTAGTCGTATGTTTACAAATGGTGGAAGCCACGTGGGGAATTGTTTTTGAAATTTTCACGGGCTATAAGGTTTACGCCGGTTATTTTTTGGGGTATTTTAGGGTATGTTTTTTTTTGTTCATATGATTCTTTACTTAAGTTTAAAAAAAAAACATAATTGCTATCTTGTTTATGGTTATTTTGTTGTAGGTCTCCTTTACCCTTTCGCCAACCGATGCATGTGGTGGTTGGTAAACCTATATATTTCAAGAAAAATAATAGCACACCTACAATGGAAGAGGTATTATTGTAAATAACATGTTTTGGTTTCCTTTTTTACCCTTTTAGATCGAACACATTGTTCTACGTTTGAATCTCATTATGAAATCATATTGTAGGTTTCGGAAGTGCACGGGCAGTATGTGGAAGCGGTTAAAGATTTATTCGAGAGGCATAAAGCAAGAGCGGGATATCCTGGTCTTCAACTACGAGTTATGTGAAATCTCTATTTTACCCCTGCATTCGTGGGGCATACGAAAAAGTTTTAGAAATGGCATGGTAAGCATAGATTTGTCCATGTATTTATAGGTAAGTTAACGTTCGTTTGTACAAACTTTTAGAATATTTCATATGTTTTGTCCATATGTAATCATTTGTGATATTCGTAATTTGTGTTTCTTTAATTATTAATTTCTAAGATCATTGTTTTTTTAGAGTAATTTACAAAAACCGTTCATGTGGTTTGAAATTGCGTCTAGGCCCACATTTGGAGAGTGGCCAAGCACCTCTTTTACCCTTTCAAAGAAAAGGCCCATAGAGCATGTAGGCTACAATGCTACATAATCATTAAAGAAAAAATCTTTGGGTGGCCCGTTTTTTTTTTTGGGTTCATGTCTAGTTTTAAGCCCAAGTGCATATCTAGTATGGAATAACAGATTTGAGTTGGAAAGAAGCATTAAGCATATAATATACTTTCTGGTAACTAGGTCTAGAATTAATATGATGGGTGTTAATGGATGCATATATTTTGTAATTAAATAATTAAGCGGATATGAAAGAAGTTCATGCGAGGTAAGCTTATGCCGATTAATTTCTAAGATTACTCATTCGAAAAAAAAAAAAAAAAAAAAAGTCATTGCAAGTCGGTTACCTTCAAGACCTAGAGCTGGTAATGGGTTGATTTGAGTTGGTTTGGGTTCAACCCATTTATTAGTTGGGTTAAAAAATTCAGTCCAACCCAACATGTTATTTAAATGGTTGATATCTAGAATCCAACCCAACATTTGAGATAAAAATGAGTTGTTTATGTATTTCTTAGCTCAACTTATTAAATAAATGAGGTAAACCTTGGTGAATTCATTTAAAATAAAAAAGGTAAATAAATTCACTATAATATTACACCACTTAAATTAGTTTTAAACTTAAAATAAAATTCACAAGTATGACAGCAATACAATCTCAATTCATAAATACGAATAAATTGTTCAAATAACATTAAAAATGTTTAATTTCAAAGTGATTTCGAAGAGTAACTAGAATTGCCGACACCAAAACAAAAGATGAGAATTAGGATTGTATTTTTTTATAAAAAATATATATAATAATTATAATTTATATATTAATACTTAGATAAATATATGATGACATTTTTATAAATATTAAATTAAATATATAGTAAAACTAAATGGATTGACGAGTTAAAGTGGGTTAATAATGTTTACACAATTCAACTTATTTACTTAACTGAGTTACATAGACTAATCCATGGAACTTAAATATAAATCTTAATCCCACCTACTAATTTTGAGGTGGATTTGAATTGGGTTAACTGTGTAGGTTGATTTCAGTTCTATCGACAATACCTTTGCACAATTTGGCTTTGGAGAGACACAAACACAAACAATGAAGATTTGGTTTTGGGGAACAAGGGCTAAAAAGGTTTTGGATATAGTTTTAATTTCCAGCTCATTATAAAAGAAGAAAAAGGAAAAAAAAATTATTGTACTTTTTACATCCTAATCACGCAACAAGTCAAAAACAATTGCTATTTTCATAGAAATTATTTCTTAATGTTCTTTTAGATATTATTTTTTCTTATTTGTTGTTGTTGCTAAAAACAGTTTGTTTTTTTAACCATGTTTTTTTCAAGGACGGTAGATGATCAACTTAGTCGGAGAGTCTAACATAAGAAACTTGCCACGGTGATATAGAAGCTCCATTGTTGTAAAGAACAACTTTCGTAGGTTAAAGGTTATATGCATGTGGTTAATATTTTCAAGTGATATTTGTAGGTTATTTGTTGATGATTTATACAAATTTTGTGCTTTACATAAACTTGTCACATTCAAAGAGAAGCTAAATTTGGGTTTCACTACTAAAAAACTGTCTTTTTATGTTAGACGGAGAGGTGCCACTTTTGTCATATTTATTTTGCTGTCATGTAAACGTCATATAATATTGGCACACCTCTTCAAAACTTTGTCATTTAGAGGGTGTGGTTTGTCACTTAGACCATGTATTTTATTTTATTTTTAACTATAACTAATTTATAAAAATAACCAATTTGAATAAAAACTAAAATTTCATTAACTTGAAATGAAAATTACAAGACACTTAAAAAAATTCAACCCATGGATAATTCCGAAGTTTGAATTTCTCGTCATTTTTTTGGCTGCTTCATAAAATTTCAAAAGCCAAGAAAACTGAAAGCCCTCCACCCCCACCCCGTCATTCCAGTAAAGTGCTAGTGATTTCTGTAAATATAGTTTCATCGTCCGCACCACTTTGTCACAGTCGCTTCACGCTCAAAAAAATCACGTTAAACTCGATGACAACTTTGTTGGTGCTCCTCTACTTCGAGTAAACTTGATTTTTTTTTTTTTTTTTGCTGTTCTCCAAGCTTCATTTATGTGAGAAAACGCTTTACCCATGCACGGGGCAATGCCATTTCCTCATCCGGTGTCCAATTCTTATACAAGGTACCTTTCCTTTTTTCTTGGGTTGCAGTTGAGGTCGAATCTCTTCAGGCTCGAAATCCATTTCGGGTACGACTTCGAGTTGAGAGTCAGTTTCGAATTAGGTTTGGGTTTAGGGTTGAAATTAGGGGTAGGAATCGGTTTGGTTTTTTGGTTTTTCGGTTTCCTCGGTTTGAAATTTTTTATTGTCCAATTCGAAAACCGAACCCAATCGAATTCAAATTCTCTAGACCAAACCGAAAACCGGATTCTAATTCGGTTTGGTTCGGTTTGAAAACCGAGGAAACCAAATATTAACTTAAAAAGTTTTCAAACATAAATTAAAATGTTTTTAACATAGAAACCTAAAGTTACGAACAGAAAGATCTAAAGTTTCATACAAAATGATCTAAAAGTAAATGGGTTAAAATGATTCTTACTTTATAATTAATACTTTTATTTAATATAATTTATAAAATATATTTTTTAATTAATTGTTGTATGAAATTCGGTTTTTCGGTTCGGTTTGGTTTAAATTTCATGAGACCGAAACTCGAACCAAAAATCAAATTTACAATTCGGTTTGATCTCAAACCAAACCAAAAACCGAATTTGAATATGGTTCGGTATGAAATCGATTTCGGTTCGATTTGGTTTTCGGTTTTTTCGGTTCCGGACCAAATAATTCCCACCCCTAGTTGAAATTGAAATTAAGAGTCAAGAAGGTTGTCAAATGGGTTAAAGTGTTAAACTCATTTTCTGGTTGGGATTGCACTTGGGATTGGAATTAGAATTGGTGTTAGGATTGAGATTGAGATTAGAATTAGGGTTGGGTATGAATAAGATATAAGTGTAGTATGCACCATGATAATGGTAAAATGAGGTGATTAAATAGGACAACCACTTTCATTTTCGAAGAAGGTATGTGATGAAAAGTTTGAAGTGGTCGTGTTATTGTTTTCAGTATTTTTTTTTTCACTTCTTGGAATTTAAGGATTGGACGGTGAAGCCAATTTTTCAGAAAATATGAAGTGTTTGAGTGAAAATTTGAAGGTTGTTGTTGGTATAAAGTAAGATAGTTGTTGGTATTTATAAAGGTTGTAAAAATGTTAAAATTTTGAATTAAAAAAAAGGGTAACTTTTGTGAAAAAACATATATAAATTTAAATTTTGAAAAAATCTCTCTCTCATTGGTACATCTCTGCCAAGTTAGGTCAATGAGCTCAACATGTCGAGTTGGTGGCACGGTGTTTGCCGAATGCAACTTGGATGTGCTGAGCCATTGCCGAGTCGGCTCTCTACAATCTTACCTACAAAAATTGCCTACAGAAAATATCCACCAAGGAAATAGCAACGGACTATCCACAAAAACTTTTTTCCTAAATTACCCAAAAAATAGCAACAGATTAACAAAGTGGTGATGGTGGTGGAAAAATAACATTATGAATTTATGAGGTTTTTTTTTATAGATTTAGGTGACCACTTTATAATTAAAAGACGAAAAAAATAGTTACATATGTATATATCTTACTAAAATATGATTATTTTAATAAATAAGTATATTTTAAAGTATTTTAATAAACCAAAAAATGCAAACTTTTGAATCTTATTATATACCAATTGATCTGATCCAATCTGATAAGATAGCATCACAACGCAACTAAAAAATTTATAATCCAATAAAATTCAATCGTCTTGATCCAAATGCCTACCTCTAGCATGATCCCAATGAGCATATGGAGTCCAATATGCTCATTTAATCGTCAACAGAATAAGACGAAACATTGGAAAGTAGCCACAATTTTCAAGTACTTGAAGCCAAAAATGCCGTCCGACAACAAAACCAGCCGAATTCCATAAGCAGATGTCCATGTCTCCCCTAGGTTTCCTGTACCGGCCAACCTTGTTTTTCGCAAAAAGTAAAATAAATTATCTTTTCATGAGTCAAATTCAATGATCTAAAATTATTTAATATGTTTTTACAATTTTGAATGTGTTGAAGACAGTGAAAAATAAATGAATATGTCATTGCAGGAGAACCTTAACTATACATGCGCCAACATAAATGTCAAGATAGTGATATTGAAGTGTTATTATATTTGTAAAGCGATCCTTAATCTTTGCTCTAGTGATAAAGAAGAAAGGATCAATATATGAAGTGTCATCTTTGCTCTAGTGATAAAGAAGAAAGGATCAATATATGAAGTCTCGATCGGATTCAATACGAACATCACCTTATTTACATTATTATGTGGATAATAATAAGATTGGTTGGTGGAGATATCCAATGACATTTACCCATTTACTTTAATCTAGCAACTAAAATCTACAACATATCTTATATTTTTACTGAAGTATGTACTACTAGAAGAAAAGAAAAGATAAAAAACCTCAAAATGTTTTTTTTTAAACTTAATCCAAAATTAAGAAAATTCCTGATATAAGGAACAATTTCACAGTATATATCCACTGCGAAGTGGGAATGAGCACGGTGAAATTCCCAAAACAATGTCAGTTCGGAATTTTTTTTTTAAAAGTTGTACTGCAAAAAACTATGGTTCACTGCCAAAAAACACTACTGCGCACTTCGAAATTATTCTTCGTAGTACAAAAAATTTCATATTTTTACGATAATCACAATTTCTTATCAATATATTTTTCTCAAAAGTTTTTTGGAGGCATGAATCTTTAAAGATAAATTTTTCAGTAAGATAAAGCTTTAATT